TCCAAGTATACAAATAGAACCTACTTTGGGGTCTAACGTCTGTAAATAGTACCTACTTTGGGCTTTTTGGAGCCCCGGGCAAAAGGGAACTACAGCGTTCACCCTAAACCCTAAACCCTAAACCCTAAACCCTAAACCCTAAACCCTAAACCCAAGCTCCCACCTGTTTTGGAGCCGTCGGACATCTTCCAGAGCTTCAGCTCGCTTACCTGCGAATTTCGGCTTGTGGGTTCCAGAATTTGAATTACCCAAACAACTAAGGCTTTAGGGTTTAGGGTTTAGGGTTTAGGGTTTAGGGTATCCTGAACCCCAAGACCTAAACCCTAAAGCCTAAACCCAATTCCTAAATCCGAAACCCGAAGCCCTAAACCTTAAGCCCTAAACCCTAAGCCCTAAAGCCTAAAGCCTAAACCCAAAGCCCTAAACCCTAAACCTCAAAGCCTAAACCCTATTGAAGGTTGTTGAAAGTTGAGTTGGTCGGATGTAGGGTTGATAAAGGTTTAGTACAGGGGCCTTCAGAGTTAGAATTCAGAATATAGGGTTGTGGGGTATGTTGTACTATGGTGCTGTAATGATGATAAGGAACCCTAAACCCTAAACCTAAACCCTAAACTCCTACATCCCTAAACCCTAAACCGGCCCAACAAATAGTTCAGGCCCGCCCTTGGATTGGAGGTTTTGGGTGGAGCTGGTGGGGCTTGGAGATTGAGAGACTGCAAGGCTTTGCCTGGGTTTTTGGGGTTTCGGGTTTAGGGCCGTTTAGGGCCGTGACGTAGAGGCCTGAATAATTTCAATAGGGCTTTGGGGTGTATTATACCATAATCATAATACGGGACCCCCAAAATAGTATAGTTACTTATTTCGGCCCCTATATTACTGGGCTTTCGGGTTGAAAGCTTTAGTCTCGTCTCGAACTCCCAAGGTGTCAGCAACCGGCGGCCGAAACTCTATCTGTGGATCCAACAACCTGCTGGTTTACGGGTTAAGGTTTAGGGTTTAGGGTCTAGGGTTTAGGGTTTAGGGTTTAGGGTTTAGGGTCGGCCCCTTTATACGGAAATTTGCAAAGCTGCTTCCCTCTTTGGTAGGGTATGGGGCTACTGATGGGGCTCACAGCTGCTGCAGGTATGTATGCAGGAACAGCTCCGGCAGTAAATCAGCTCTTACAAAAGGCAGGTTATCTTTTCCTGTGGCCCAAGAGACCTACCTTTTTCAAGGAACCATCAATAGAAACCATAACAAGTCACCCCAAAATGGTAGGTTTTTCCGGCTAACCCCAAAGACAGAGGCCGAAACCCCAAACCCTGAACCCCATGAACCCGGAAGGGATCTCAGGTGAAACGGGTAAACGTTTGGACACCGCCAAACCACAAAACTCTAAAGCCCTAAACCCAAAACCCCGTAAGCCCTGAGCCCTAAACCCGCAAAACCCTAAACAACCTCCCTCAACCCCAAAACCCTAAACTCCCTAACCTCCCTCAACCCCAAAACCCTAAAACCCTTAGCTCCCAAAACTCCCAAACCCCTGCAAGGCTTCGGGTTTTGGACAACACAAGGATCCTAAGCCCTAAACCCTAGACCCTAACCCTAAACTTATAAACCCTAAACCCTAAACCCTAGACCCTAAACCCTAGACCCTAACCCTAAACCCTAAACCCTAAACCCCAAAGGACTATGAAAGGACCATGCCCAGAGCCTCGCCGAAGTCCAAGGCCGTATTCTTCAGCCTCGATTTTAAGCAGCCCTTTAAGGGATCCGAACCCTAAGGGTCCACATGGGTTTAGGGTTTAGGGTTTAGGGTTTAGGGTTTAGGGTTTAGGGTTTAGGGTTTAGGGTTTAGGGTTAGGGTTTAGGGTTTAGGGTTTAGGGTCTACTATTATGGAATCAGGTCCCCAAAACCATAGTAAGAATGGTCTTTTGGGACCTAATTCCATTATGGTAGTATATGTGGACCCTCTGGG